TATTTAATTTCATACAACTTAGGAGTATTGATTTCTTCAATATCCAATATTTGAAAAAAAAAGGTATATTTAATTTCATACAACTTTTTGTCTAAAACAGTACAAGTGTTAGGAGAATTGATTTGTTATATTTTTGAACGTATACTTATATTATTATATTATGAAATGTTATACATTTGTCTTATTTTACTTCAATAAAATACATATCTGTTGGAAGATATATGATTATCCAATAATAAAATACATATCTGTTGGAAGATATATGATTATCCAATTGTTATGCTTAACAAGTAACAACATACTTATTGCTAATTTCATGTTTACAAGTATTTTAAATTTATTTATTAGGCTGGAAAAACTAGGGGCCACCTGAAGTTATTCGAAGTGAGCTCTTTTAAAATTTGATTTGATTTATAATTAAAATGAGTTAATTTTGAAAAAAAAAAAATTATTCGAGTGGATTTTTTAGATTAATTTTGAGTTTAGGGTAGTGGCCTAAAATTAGTTTTAGAGTGTACTTATTGAATTGAACAATGTTTGTTATAGTATTATTATTATTTTACTGTATATGGGATTATCATGTGCATCACTGCATTATTTAATTTATTTTTATCGTAATTTGCGGCCTTCAATTTCATGTTTTGGTAGCCCAAGTACAAAAGTGTTGCAGGACTCGGATGCACGTCCATTGGCTTTTCCACTTTTTTTTTTTTAATTATTATTGTTTTTTAATTTTCCCAAAACTTTTATTATTTAATCTGCGGAAATACTACGGTCTCGTTACGGTAGCATTCCATCGGATGTTTTACGATACCATCTCCTCGTGTGTTTTAATATAAGGAAATGCTATGGTACCATAGCATTTTTCTTTAATTTAATATATGGTTTACCGTTTCTTGTTATTCGTTCAGACGGTTCTAGGAAGTCCCATGCCCCCTTCCAATCTTGTGCAAGTCAAAAGTTCCCATCTTTTTTTTTTTTTCTTATGTGCAATCCTAGTCATTTCAGCTAAGAAAAGTATCAAATACTATCTGGTGCAAGTGTAAACTATATATGTCTACATCAATTTTAAGTCTTTTAATTAATTTTCATTTTTTATTTCATAATAGATTATGGAAAGAAAAGCATATTATATTATATTCGAATATTATTTACAGCAAAATTTTGACCATCAAAAGATGCATGCTCTTCCTGGGAAGGGTATATGCTTTCTAACAAGTGATTTTTTTATGTTTGTTGAACTGTATACTAAGATGCTCTGCTAAATATGAAACGACCTGTTTTCGCCTTTACTTCTTGTCATCGAACTTGATGACTTTAAGGATCACATATCAGAGATTTTCCGGGCCGGAAGGCTCGAGAAAAGATGCTCTCTTTTTTAGCTAAATTATTGCGTAAAAGGGTTTGCATCGATGCTTCCAACTTGCGCGGTTAATTTGCGCTGTCACTTTGTCAAGATGCATCGAACGTATTTGTTTGCGCTCGTTGTTTAAGTCTCTTTGATCGTTCGAACGAACAACAAACTCCCTGTTCTTAGATAAAATTATTTTTCCAATATATTCTAGATAATCTGCAGTACGAAGTGAATGTAAATCAATCCTATGGATATTCATGTAATAATACATTTCTGTTCTGAATGAATTTTCATGTCATGTGTGTGTGCTCAGGGAAGAGGAAGACGGGGCAAAGGTGGTGAGAGTGGAGAATATAAATAATCCGTACGTAAGCCAATCTGATTTACATTGGCGATTTAAGCTGACACTGAACAAACTATACGCTTGGAAGCTCGTGAACTATGACCGAGTCATCATGCTCGATGCCGATAACCTCTTCCTTCAGAAAACGGACGAACTTTTTCAGTGTGGCCAGTTTTGTGCTGTCTTCATCAACCCCTGCATCTTCCACACCGGTCTTTTCGTATTGCAGGTACATATGCCCGATATTATCAAACACTACCCACAGAAAAAAAAAAAGAAGTAAACAAAAAATATCTTAAACATAAAATATTCCTCCATTTATATGTGTGTACATTAGTAAGACCTTAATAGTATGTCTAATAAAATTGCAGCCGTCGTTAGAGGTGTTCAACGATATGATGCACGAATTGGAGATCAAGAGAAGTAACCCTGATGGTGCAGACCAGGGGTTTTTGGGAAGCTATTTCCCTGACTTGCTCGATCGCCCGATGTTTCATCCTCCACTAAACGGAACAATACTCGACGGTGCCTACAGACTTCCCCTCGGCTACCAAATGGATGCTTCTTACTATTGTAAGCGTAAAAGCAAAAATGCATATATATAAATATATACTAATAATTGGTGCCAAATGGATTTATACACTTAACCAGTGTGATTGATATCGTTATTATTTGGATACATGTTAGATTTGAGGCTCCGTTGGAGCGTACCCTGTGGGCCCAACAGCGTGATAACTTTCCCGGGCGCCCCATGGCTAAAACCGTGGTACTGGTGGTCGTGGCCCGTTCTCCCTCTCGGCATCCAGTGGCATAAAAATCGCCTTCAAACTCTCGGGTAAGTTTTCAACAAATAGCACGCACAATACAAAAATAATTACTCAGCTAGTTTTGTGTTTTTTCCTAAAAACAGAATTTAGCGATTACTATTTTGGTCGCATTGAACTTTTTAGGTACGGTGAGGAAATGCCTATCGTCTGGATTCAAGCCATATTCTACGTCGGCATAATAGCCGTGGCCCGCCTGGCCCGTCCCAACATGTCCAAGCTCTGTTACCGACGAGAGGAGAAGAGCGTGTTCTTCGTGCAAACCGGGTTCAAACTCATAGCCATGTGGGCCATATTCGCATCCTACATTGTACCCTTCTTCCTCATACCCTACACGGTCCACCCGCTAGTCGGGTGGGGCCTCTACCTCATGGGAGCTTTTTCCTTCTCGTGCATTACGGTTAATGTATTCTTGCTCCCGATGCTGCCCGTGCTGGTGCCCGGCATTGGGATCTTTGGCTCTCTCCTTGTAATGGCCTACCCGGGCTACCCGGACGGGATCGTGAGGGCACTTTCGGTATTTGGGTACGCCTTTTGCTGCGCGCCGCTTGTTTGGACGGCGTTTGGGAGGATCGTGTCTTCATTACAGGTGTCGCTCGACCGGGAGGCGTTCTTGCCGAGATTAGGAGGAGATAATGTGTTGCCATCTAACAACAAATTGTTTTAGGGAGAAAAGGGAGGGAAAAAAAAGCAGCTTTGATTTGTAGACATGAAGAAGAAAGTGAAACATTTTTTGTGGATGTGTGGACTCAAGGATTCGGTTGGACATATGTGAATTTTGTGGTTATTGGTGATTTTTTTTTTTTTTTTTTTTTCTCTTGTAAAAAGGAAATCTTTAGGTTAGATGGAAATTTGCCTTCATTTTCGTGTTGAGAAATGTTGCAATGCTTTTTCTTTTTGGTTAAGAAAATGTGTAAATTATTAAGGTGCAGATGAAAAATAAGAAAACAAACAATTCTGTGCATTTGTAACAGAGTGTAACACATAAATGAAAAAATATATGTAGAAGTCGTTATATTAAGTGAACTGAACCGAGTTTTTATGTGTTTGAACGAGACAAGTGATGTAGCACCATAAAGCAGCTTGATCAACCAGAGGTATATTCATTAGCTCGGGTCGCAGCTCGATGGACCGGTTTTTGTGCTTGTTAGCTCGGTTCAGGGGCCTCGAGCTCATGACCTAAGAAGAAGGATATGGATTGAGAGATCTTCTGTTAAAGGGTAGAACGAGGATGACTTGGAAAAATAGGAAAGATAATACAAAACCTAGGAGAGGATCTCATCGGGTCTTGCGTTAAGAAAATCTCGATATATTTAGGAGTTCTTCTATCATAAAGGTGACTTGGAAAGAGAAAAACGGAGTATATAGAGAAATTTTCTGGTTAGATTTAAATTACTACACATATCATATATTTACGAAAAATCTTGAGAACACTATATGTAACTTGAGAGTCGGAGCCTTCTCGTGAGGAACTTTCCCGGCGTCGTTTGCAAGTCAGCAGCGATCGCGTTAAGAAGGCGATTTGGGTCAATCGGGTTAACTTGGGCTCAAATGGGGGCAAAGTTAAAAACGAGCTCCAGCATGAGCTATTTGGTTCGTCTCAGCTTGAATAACACTCCCAATTTGGCTACTTATTATGACTTATTCGAGCCAATAAAGTAATACTAAAAATTTAAAAAAAAAAAATAAATAAACAAGCGGAAAACTATTGCACCACATCAAAACATCAGGCCCTAATTGACGACTATACGTTTCAGAGTTCAGACAGAGGCCCGTGAACCCTGACAAACATTTGCTGTGGGGAATGGCATTTTGGTCCTAAAGATTAAATAATTAATAGAAAAAAAAAAATGGGAAAACAAGAAGTTTTTGTCTCATGCAGCACACAAGTAAAGTAAATTACTGTTCTCTTTCGCTGCAACGTTCAGAAACATAGAAAAGTATTCAATGCGGGGGCCCATTAGTTCTTGGCCCAAGCTTGAGTTTTTGTAATGGAACTGGCCCACATTTGATTAATTATCAGAATTCAATTAATTATAACTATAAATACAAACAAATGTAATAAGCAAATAGAAAGATCAAATAATGTATCAACCAAACCGGTTTTGCTGGGAAGCCAACAATTGGCTCCATAATGGAGCCAACATTCTATATACAACCAGTAAACCTACTATATTCTCTAATTACTTAAATAACACTAATATAATTTTATTAATATGATTGGTTCATTTATTGTATATATAATGTTGACTCAATTATTGAGTCAATTATTGCCTTCACAGAAAACCGTCAAACAAAAAAGGCTACAAAGAATCCAAGAGCGCTTGGATGAGATGGCTTGGGTCTCTTCCAGCTTAACCAGTGGTCTCGTGTTCGAGCCCTGGGAATGCAGCAGTGTTAAAACTCTTGAGGGAGAGCTTTGCCGCCCTTGTGGTCCTACCCGGCTCGATTCCAGATTAGTCGGTTCCCCTGTGGATCCAAAAACTGGAAGGTCCTGTACCAAAAAAAAAGGCTACAAAGAAAAAATATGACCGTTACATACTTACGGTACCCATCACTTCCCCGCCTCCCACCTCACACCAACACTAAAACATATATACCCACACACACACACACACACAACTAAATTGACGCTTGAATTTTGAGAATCTCTCTACATACAACTCAGATCCTTTACATCACAAAAACTTGCAATAGTCATCAATTTCTAATAAAAAAATCTCAACCTCAAAAACTCTCTCCCCAAATTAAACGCTCTCAAATCAAATCCATGGCGCCGTACAGTAATATTGCCGTAATGTTTCTCCTCATGATCATGTGCTGGCGAGCTTTACCTACCTCCGGCAGCCGCGGGCATCACAAGTGGGTGGGGCCCACGGGCCGCCGTCTCATCACGGTGGACCGGTTCGGGTCCGGAGATTTCGCTTCGGTGCAGGCTGCCGTGGACTCGGTCCCTGTGAACAACACGGAGAACGTGCTCATTCTCATCGGCCCCGGTTATTACGTGTAATTAGTTAGTTAACTGATATAATAATGAATAATTTGATTAAAACGATAGATTGATCATCGGGTTGATCTGGGCTTGCTTGCTTACGTGGCAGTGAGAAGGTGGTGGTGCCGGCGTCCAAGCCGTACATAACGATGGAAGGGGCCGGGAGGGAAGCGACCGTGATCGAGTGGCACGACAGGGCTTGCGACCACGGGCCCGACGGCCAGCAGCTTCGGACTTATCACACGGCTTCTGTTTCGGTTTTTTCGTCATATTTCTCTGCTAGAAATATCAGCTTCAAGGTAATATTAGTTAGCTAGTCAGCTAAATTGCAAAATATAGTCAGTATCTTTTATGCATAGTCATCATCATCATCCTTGCACAGAACACGTCACCCGCACCTCTGCCGGGAATGCACGGGTGGCAAGCGGTGGCGTTTCGGATATCGGGCGACAAAGCCTTCTTCTCTTGGTGCGGATTCTACGGTGCGCAGGACACCCTATGCGACGACGCGGGACGCCATTACTTCAAGGATTGTTACATTGAAGGCTCTATAGACTTCATATTCGGCAATGGAAGGTCCATGTACAAAGTAAGTACTACTATTTTAGATTAGTACTTACTAGTACAACACCCGTGTATTACACGGGTGTTTGTTAAAAAATTATTCTTAAATATTAAAATTAATAAAAAAACTAAATTAAATTTAGTTACAAAAAAAAATATTACTATATATTTTAGAATGAGATATGTTACTTATGACTTACATGTGTTATATTATATTAATTGTTATAACTTTATATAACTACTTGAAATATAAACATATTAGTTGATAAATAATTTTATTTTTCTAATTAATATTAAAAATAATTTTATTATTGAAGATAAATATAAATTATTTTTTTTATACATACAATATGGATGTTAAATCGAAGCTCATCAAAAGAAGATTAATTTGATATATTATATATGTAAAACTGATAAAAAATACAAAAGTTATTAACTTTTAAAATATATATACAATTCAATAGTTATAATAAGGAATGATATTAAAATACAATTAATACATTAACATGACCATAAATAATCAACATATTTATGGTAATCCGAACCTAATTATTTTTTGTTTGGAATTAAATTAAAATTTATCCAAGCAAATAACGAAGCATGTAATTTTGCCACATAGGATTCCAAAGCACCAGAAACAACCACGTAGGCTCAGCGCATTCTGTATTAATATATATAGGGGGATAGGGGGATTGGAACATTTAGATTATGAAAAACTTGACCCACTTAAAATATAAATATATTTTACCCAAGAGCACTTGGATGAGATGGCTTGGGACTCTTCCAGCTTAACCAGTGGTCTCGAGTTCGAGCCCCGGGAATGCAACATTAGTCGGTTCCCCTGTGGATCCGGAAACCGGAAGGTCCCTGTACCAAAAAAAATATAAATATATTTTAAAAGTTATTAACTTTTATACTTTTTTATTAGATTTTCATATATGATATATCATTTCATAACAAGTTTCGACTTGATATTCATATTTGCATATATAAATAAATATGTTTATTTATCTTTATAATAAAAATAAAATTATATATCAATAGTCATTAAAATATAAAAAAATAATTTATCAATTAAACAAATTTATCTTTTTTTTTTCAAACGGAAACATATTTTAAATATCAAAATAGAGTACACATCTGAGATGTTAATTGGCATCCTTGTAATCACGGGTGTTGTACTATTAAGTTGTGAATATACAAGTATTGCAAAATTAACTTTGGGTTGCATTTGATAAATTTAGCTAAAATATTGTTCGTGGAATTAATAATTTATGGTTATTGACTGATAATGTATCTAATACAATAATTTCATATTTGTGAATTGACCAAGAATAATTTAGTAGTTGATGGATGATAACTGATAAATTAATTGATAAAAAAAAAATAGAAAATCAATTGATAAGTTAGTTGAAACACAATATAATTTTTAATGTAGAGATACAATGTGGGATAAATTAGAGTTTTTTTTTAAATAATCTCATCTACCAATACTTATAAACTAACTAAATTAGGTTAAATGCTATTCCGCTTTATATTTTGTATTTCTTGGTGAACAATTTCCTCAATTCTCCTCATTTTTTCTTGGTGCAGGACTGTGAGCTTCACTCAATAGCAAGAAGATTTGGGTCGATAGCGGCCCAAGGTAGAAACTCAATGGACGAGAAGACGGGCTTTGCATTTGTCAACTGCAGGGTGACAGGTACGGGCCCACTTTATGTGGGCCGAGCAATGGGCCAGTACTCCAGGATTGTCTTCTCCTACACCTACTTTGACGATGTCGTTGCCCACGGAGGTTGGGACGATTGGGATCACCTCAGCAACAACAACAAGTGGGCCTTCGATCTCACTCAATTTATTCATTTTACATTTTTTTTTTTCTTTTATGCAAATAAAAAATAAAATTTCTAAGTGTCCGGAGTAATTTTTACATATTGATTATTCTCTAGTAAATTTACGAAAAATGTGTTGAATTTTCAAAATTAAATAATAAATGATTGTTGTGGGTTTCTAATTATTTGCAGGACTGCATTTTTCGGAGTGTACAAATGCTTTGGGCCTGGAGCAGCAGCAGTCCGTGGAGTGTCATGGGCCCGAGAGCTGGACTATGACTCGGCCCACCGATTCCTTGCCAAGAGTTTTGTTAACGGGAGACATTGGATTGCCCCCTCTGATGCTTAATAATATATATATATATTTTTTCTTTTTCCATTTCATTTGAGTAGATGTAATTTATTCATTTGTTATTAATTTATTCAAAGTAAAGTGGATTCTAGCAATTTTTTTTTTTTAATCATTGTAATTTCTTCGTCCATCTTGTACTTAATTGTAATATAATATATCCAAACATCCTCCTTTTTGCTTTCATAAATGCATTATAAATTTCAATTTCTTACCATCAAGTAAAAATTATCATAAGGTTTATTGATGTCTATGGAAATTGATATAGTTTTTTTTTTAGAATATTTAAGTTATTAGATCGAGATTGGTGAAAATACGACAATTTATTGACCCTTTTATGGGTTTTCTATAAATTTGAGTTTATATATTACAATTGATAATATATACACATTTGTTTTCTATCTTTAATAATTTTTTACTTTTTTTTGGTACAAAGATGGAGGCCGGAGGCCTGAAAACTATGATGCTAGAACTTGACGGGGTGAGCCACCCCACGAAGATCGTGGTCCATCCAATCAGACAGCCCTTGAGGGGGTGACGAGATCCGGAGGATGCCACTGGATCATGTGTAACGTATATAAGTTTGCTCCTGCCTTCACATAGGTCGTGGCTGCCTTCTCATACTATTCCGACTTTCTAATAACATCCCGGTGGCGAGCCTCACAGCCTAGCATTCGGTGTAATACACGAGTGTTGTACAGTTGAGAGTAAAAAAAAAAATAAAAAAAAAAATTGAATAATTTATCATGGGTCTAGCATTGGGCATATTAGTAAATTCTGAGGTGATGAGGATAAAAGAATAAATGTACAGCGATAAATTACAGTGAATTTGATTGATTAAGAAAATAAAAACATAATAAATAAAGGAAAATGAGAGAGAGCTGAGGAGCCCTAGCTTCAGCTGGTCACCTTCTCCAACTCGCCGCTGTATCTCCATCTCTCCGCCAACATCCGCCCTGCAGGTGCCTCACTGTTTTTTGTTTTAGTAGATTGAATGAAATCTCTCTCTCTCTCTCTCTCTCTCTCTCTCTCTCTCTCTCTCTCCAATGAAGTGCTTGGTGTTGTGCCTCACTGTTTTTCTTGTTTTTGGGATTGAGTTAAGTATATTGTTCCAATTTAGCTCGGTTCAGCATATATGTATACTTTGTGTTATCGTCCTGGGATGAGTTTTGTGCTTGATTTGATTATTGTTTTAAGTTTTATTCCTTTTTTTCTCGCTCAATGTGTTATTCTGTTAATGTACATTGTGATCATGTGAGATATTTCTGGTTCCATGTTTAGTTGGAAAATACTAATCTGTATATATGTAACCCCCATCTCGAGTTAGCTCTATATTTTTTGTTATGAGTATATTAGTTTACCACACGGGATCGGAAATGTAATATCACTAAAAAAGTATATTAAACTAGCTCGATGTTTGATTTTGTAATGGTTTCCTTGCTTTCACTGTATCAACTGAGTTTCTTTATGTATCAATTCATGAATGCAGACGACAGAAGTTTTTTCTATTCTTCGGAGATGGTTAGTACTGAAGATTTGGACGCCGATGATGATTTCAGTGAAATATACAAGGCGTATACTGGCCCTGTGAGTTCCAATCCTCCAAAAGAACAAGAGAAAGCCACTAACAAAAGATCCCTTGTTGGGTCCGATGAAGAGGAGGAAGCTCGTGACCCTAATGCGGTCCCAACAGATTTTACTAGCCGCGAAGCAAAGGTTTGGGAAGCTAAATCCAAAGCTACAGAGAGGAACTGGAAAAAGAGAAAAGAGGAGGAAATGATTTGTAAAATATGTGGCGAATCAGGCCACTTTACCCAGGTACATGTTTCGAACAATATTACTTGATCGCTGTTGCTTTTTGTTTTTTGTTGTCACATACTTGTACTGATGACTTGGATGTTTATATATGTGGCGACGTATAAAACTAATTGTTTGCAATATTTGGGGGAAAATAGAACTCCATATGCTGCTGCATGGATTTGCTTCATGGTACCTTGCTGATTTCCACAAATGAATATGAGAGCAATGGTTGTACTCAAACCTCTGTCGAATAATTCTTACGCAATAGGTGTTGTGCCTTATCTTGTCCCCATTTGACATTCTTCATTCTAGGAAAAATTATTTGTCCAAAATCTTTATTGTCAGACTCGAGAACAATCTGAACATACATAGAATATGGGGAAATAGTTGATATCAGTTACTCAGTTCTTTGCTCTTTTGTTGATAATCTACTTTCATATGTATCAGCACTGCATTCATTTCTCATTTTTCCTTGCCAAAAAATTTGGAACTTTCTAGGGTTGCCCATCTACACTTGGGGCAAACCGCAAGTCCCAAGATTTCTTCGAGAGGGTGCCTGCGAGGGACCCTCATGTGAGAGCTTTATTCTCAGAAGATGTATTGAAGAAAATTGAGAAGGACGTTGGTTGTAAGATCAAGATGGATGAAAAGTTTATCATTGTCAGTGGCAAAGATAGGCTGATTTTGAGAAAAGGTGTTGATGCTGTTCACAAAATTAGAGAAGAAGGTGACAACAAGGCTTGTCAAAAATTTCATGAAGAGGGTGAGAACAAAGGTTCTTCGCGTGCCAAGTCACTTGAACGTAGAAGTCCTCATAGCTCTAGAATGGGACGATCAGGTTCCCAGAAGTCCAATTCGAGCCCTCACAATGCTCCACATATCCCACATAGGTATGGTAGACAAGAGAGAGTCATGGAAGACCATGTTCGTCAAGATATTCAGAAATTGTCAACTGGCTCTCCCCATGGTAGGTGCAACTTTGAATGATTTACTCTTATGCATTATTAGCATTTGTACATATGGATGGGGTTTAAGATTTATGAGTATATTTGTTTTTTTATTTTTTTTTATTTTTTTTTCCCTGTGTTTTCTGCACGATACATATCTTTCAGTAATTCTGCTTGTTTCTCGTAATTTTTTTGCAGCGAGAGGTAAGTTCTTAGGCTCAGGTGTTATGTTCGATTCTGATATTAGTTTCGTGGTGGTTCTGAATTGAAATGGATGGTCTCCCCAAAATTGATTGTTTTAATTCAAAGCGTATCAAGTCTCGTTTGCCCCCAGATGGATACACTATAGATAGTGTCAAGCTTCAAGAATTCTTAGAGATGTTGAGAAAACATGGAAGTGTTAACTAAAATCTTCCTTTGGTGAAGCTTATGGTAGTGATGGAGTTAGAGGTCAACCGAGCCGTTCCAAGTCTCCCGCACGTCCCTCATACTTTGGAAAATCCTATAACAATTCGTATGAAGGCCACACTCACAACAGAGGTGCTATCAGGACAGATGGCTGGAATTCTGATAGAGGCAGATTGAACATGCAATCGGACCACCCTAACTTTAATAACTATCCTCCCTTTCCCCAGACTCTGGAGGATTTAGAGTTACAATATAAAAGGGAGGCTATGGAACTTGCAAGGATTCGAGACAAAGAAGAAGATGAAGAAAATTGCAAATATCGTGAGGTTTGTTGTGCGTTGATAGATTGATTGTATTTTCTTAATTAATTTTCAGTAAGAAAAAATGGTCTTTCAGGCTCTTAGAGAAATATGGGAAAATCACACAAAAAAGGCGGCTACACTGAGGGGAACACATGCGAATATGTGGGACGAATTCCTTCGAGCGGAGGGCCAGAAGAGGCAGGAAACACGCCTGCAAGTTCCTGCCGCGAGTTTTGGCGGCTACAAGCAATCGGGATATGTCGAACAAGATACTTCTTCGGGAAATCTTCATCATTCAGTAGATGTTATGATGCACACTAGGGGCCGGTACCCGAATGCTGTTAACCATGGTTACCCTTCTCCAAGGCTCCAAGAACCTTATGAAGACTTTCAACGTCACAGGCGAGATGATTTTGGGAGACCATATCACAGATACTAAATTGGTTGTTGGTTTTGAACTTTGGTGAGTTTCCAATAGGGTTTCCAGGTTATTGAGGTATTGAATGCAATAATATGGAAGTACGGGTCTGTATATTTATTCTTAAGTGCACTCGCAATCTGAATTATTGCTTCCAAAAAAATTTCAGGATGCAGTTGTTGCTTGGGTTCCGAGGTTTATTGCATGGGAGCAATCTGTTTAAGGTAATGTTGTGTCATGTTTTGAAGAGTTGTGGACTCCAGAACAAAAGGCAATACTAGATTTCTCTCTGTTGAGTCTTGTGCTGTGTACGGGATTTAAATATGTGGCATTGGTGCCAAAGTTATTGGAGAGCAGGTGTGTGTAGATCTTACTGATGTCGAAAATGTTTACTGCCACATCTTGAACTCTTATGGCTGGGTTTTATCATTTATGAAACCAGATTTGCTGCGATATCATGTTTATATTGTGTTTTTTGCCCATCTTCATTCCACTTTGCCGGGGTGAATTTGCTTCCCCCTGAAATCGACATGTGACATGGATTGCTTGGATATGTTGCACGTGTGATTATTAAACCGATCAGTTATGAATTGGGATGCTGGTTTGAACTTTCAAGCTATGACAAGTCCTGCATGTTCCTGATTATATATTTTTTATACAGAAAAGAAATATGAGACCTAAGTGTTGGTAAAGAATGCTGGTTTCATGCAATGACCAGTTACTGGCATGTTCCTGATTATATATATTTTTTTACAGAAGAGAAAAAATGAGTCCCAAGTGTAGTAGCTGTGGGAAGTGCGGTAAGAACGGTTAGACAATTATACTTTTTTCGGCAGATGTGCTTACTTTCAAATTGAAAAATGTTAAATAATACTACCTCCTTTTTTAAATAAATGTCGTTTTGACTTTTTTGATTCATCCATTTTGCTATGTATCTAGATATTAATATGTCTAGATACATAGCAAAATAGATGAATCAAAAAAGTCAAAACGATATTTATTTAAAAAAGGAGGGAGTATAAACAAAGTATGAAATTTCATATTATAATTAGACATTTTTGCTAAAAAAAAAAGTATGAAGGTAATAGAACTCTTGTTTGAAAATAAAGGATTGAATTTAGAAAATCTCGAATTAATGAATCGTGTACTACTACTTATAGATTTCCAATTGTATGTAAAAGAAACTATCTAGAAATTGGATCTCATTGCTATTATTTGTCTGAAGATTGAACCGAACTGGGGTGAGCTGGGTCGGTATAGTTCGGAGATTGTTAAATTTTCGGAACCGTACCGAAATTCGAAGATCCCAAAATTTGATCTTCGGAACCGTACTAAAAAGTCGGTTTGGTTTGGATCGGAGATTTTTATTTTTACAAACTGAACACCATGAACATATACAAACCAATGGCAGCAATAGCTGCATTTGGATTGTAAAAGTGTGATGTATAAATAATTATAAGGGTATATTGGCTACCTAACTTTTCAAATAATAAAAAAAAAAATTACAGACAAAATATTTGAAACCCACATTGTAGGGTGAGCTTTTCCACCTTAAAGAACACTCTTAAGTCTCAGCCGTAGAAAATCTTTCCTATTTTGTTTCTGAAATTCTTAAAATGATCAACTAATATAAATTTACAATCCACAACATACATAAATCCTTTTTGCAAAAACAACACCCTATAAAAAAATGGAGAAAATCTGATATCAAACCATAACAAAAGACACAAGATACAAAGATCTGTAATCTTACATTTATGGTTCCCTGAATAAGAAAATCCATCAGAAAATTTTGTGCATAATAATAGTTGAAATGTTGATGGATGAAAATTAAATAAAAAAAGAACAATAAGTAGAACACATGATCATGCATGCATAGAGAACAAAAACCAGAAGAAGGCAAAGGGAGACTCTTCATGTATCAAGAATCTCTCTCCTCTACGAAGCACCGAAAAACCATGATTCGAATAAGGCTTTCAGAAAATCGGGTTGCACTCGAGGATGCCTTCGTGATTGTTGGATTGGTGGCAGTGCAGTTTCTTTATGCAGGAAACTCAATCTTGCTGAGTTATATCTTGAAATTCAGGGTCCGGCCTTCGAACCTCATTATCTTCTCTAGCTTTTCCACATTTCTAATTCTCTCCCCTTTCTCCATCCTTTTCGAAAGGCAAGATTATATCTCTCTGTTTTTTTTATTTTTTATTTTTATTTTTTTATTTCGTTTATGGTCGCATAAATCGAAACGCACTATCTGATCATCTGTTCATGTTATTACAGGAAGCTATGGCCTCAAAGAATCAGTTGGAAGTTTTTTATTCAGTTGCTCTTACTTTCTTTTGGAGGGTAACCATCTTTCTCTCCTCTCATTCTCTCCCTTTTCAAGTTAATATGTTAGTTGATTATAGGGAGTCGAAGAAAACGAGAAAAAAAGTACATGAATTTTAATATGTTGGTTATTTTTGCATTAATACAAATTAGGGAAATGCAAAACAAAAGCTCTCAAATGCTTTTTTTTACTGGAAAAAAAAATATCAAAAACAGAAGTCTCATTGTTCTGCATTTTGCAGTGTAACTGTGTTCCAGTCTCTTTTCATGAAGGGAGTTAGTCTGACTTCACCGGCAATGGCTACGGCAATGCCAAATCTTGCACCGGGACTTATATTTATCATTGCCTGGGCCTCGAGGTAAATTCTAGAATTTGATTTATTATCACATTCTTTCTTAGTCGAAAGTACGGTCACTCATTCAATAAATTCATTTTATTTACATTCTTTTTTGCAGACTAGAGAAAATAGAGTTAGGATGCATTTACAGCCAAGCCAAAATCATCGGGACTTTGCTGTGTGTGTTAGGGGCCGTCACAATGAGTCTCATGCAGAGTATCGTGCAACGCAAGACGGCCAATGATTCCCACCCACCAGCAACAGGTGAGAAGAGTGTTGCTTTAGACAATCAAACTATTATCGGCTGCATATATCTCATTGCAGCAGTTCTTGTTCTGTCGAGCCAAGTTGTTCTGCAGGTGAGTAAAAACCGAATAAAGAATTTCTATTTACACAAAAAAAAAGTAATAATAATAATAATAACAAATTAAATTTCAGACCTCAGTTTTTGAAATTTCCACTTGCAGGCTATTACTCTGCATGATTTTCCAGCACCGATATCTTTGTGCGCATTGACTTCATTGACTGGTGGGCTAACTACGGCAATATTCGAAATTTTTGAGGATCACAAAACCGAGCATTCGGGATGGCCTTTATTGACCGTTGAAGACATGGTTCTCTATGCCGTATTCGTAAGATCTTGTTTTGTTCATAAAAAAAAATCTCAAAAGCTATAACAGCTGGATGATCTGAAATCAGAACCCGAAAAAAAATGTAAAAAATAGACCCAAGAAAAACTGATTTTTTTTGCAATATTAGATGGAACATTTTCCGTTAGGCAGTCTATCACGAGTTTTTGTCAGAGTTCTTTGTGCTATTTGAACGATTTATCGATGGCAATAACCCTTAACAGGCAGGCAGCGTAAGTGGGATGTGCGTGAGCATGAATGCATGGGCAATGAAGAAAAGAGGTCCGGTTATTGTGTCGATATTCAATCCGCTTGGAACAGTCATTTCCACTATCTTCTCTGTTATCACATTGAAACAATCCATTTGTGTCGGAAGGTACTATACGTGCAGCTGCAAATCGAAAGAATTTGCATAACCGAAATATATATAACCGAAAAAATTGTGTGTGTTGTGTAGTCTTGGAGGTATGTGCCTGATGTTCATCGGTCTCTACTGCGTGCTTTGGGCTAAAAGAAAGGAAGGTTTTTCTGTTGCCGGCGAAAGCTCACTGGAAACCGAGCCCGACCTCGAGAAGCTTCTATTAGCTTGAATTCTTAGCTGAGGCCAACTTTATGTACAATATAGTCAATACTGTATATATAGTAAATGATATACATGCAAACTTTGCCTCTGTTAGAAATTAAATGAGGTCTTCACTCTGTAAAAGTTTCCATTGCAGTGAACAAAAAAAATTGTCCAAAGTATAACAACAGAGACTATGTTCAAAAGAATTTTGCTTCATTTTTTTTTTTTTTTTTGTTTATGTGGAATATATTTAGCGAGAAAGTATAATTGTCTAACGGTCAGACAGCATAACGTGATATATATCGCTCTATACTTCACGCCCGATTCAACATACATCGATAAAAAGACGACAACCGTACGAAATTACATTTTTTTTTTCCTTTTTGAATAATCAGATCAAAGAGTTGAAACATCTGTACTGCAAAAATTATAACAAAGTCAAAAGCACATTGCCATTACATTCTCCTTACTCTGCGGGTGACAAACACTATGAAAGTCCACATTACAAGTGAGAGAGTAAAAGTGTAG